CTATGGCTTGCTGTCAAGGAGTATCCCATTTATAGGGCGTATCCTCTTTCAATAATTTCGTCAGTGGCGCTACTATCTTAGCGTACTATGGCACGTGGCGAAGCCTAGGAACTGCTGCAACTCCTTCACGTTCTCAGGAACTTTCCACTTCTTGACGGCTTCGATCTTCCGCGGGTCCACGTGTACGCCCTCGGCACTCACCATGTGCCCAAGAAACTGTTGGGTGCAAATGCACATTGCACGACATCCTGCCGTCTGTTTGTACGAGTATGCGTGTGCGAATGCATTTGCGTGTGAATGGTGTGTTCGTGTGTTTGTTTGCTTTCGCATTTTTCGCTTGATGCATTTGCAGGTACTCGCGCAATGTGCGCTTCGGCACAACATTGTACGCGCTATGAACAGTGCAAGCAGAAAGGACGAGCTCGCAAAGGAACCCAAGATGGAAGCTTTGCAGTTCGGTTGAGTTGATTGCGCAGATTCAGTTCTATCCAACTCGAAATTGTACTGTTTTGTTTGGTTAACTATAGTGTAGCGGGGAAGGCACTATAGGGGTACAATTTAGGTGAAGGTTGGATGTTGTTTGTCTGTATCTGCATGCTACAAGGCCAGGGGAAACCAGCGGAACCAGCATTTGGCTGGTTGGGCAAAGACAAAACAGGTTCTGTTTTTAGAACCTGAACCTGGTTGTTGTTTTCCCAGGTTGGAAAAACAGAACCAGAGGTTGTTTACCAACCTACCACCTGCTATTTTGTCCAGCCAGGTTGGTTCTGTTGCTTGGAATTATTTGGGATCATCCCTGGTTGTTCCCAGGTTGATTTCCAAGGTCCTTGCTAGCTAGAACTATTTAATCCTTCTCTGTTTGTACCTGAATATAGTCAAATTGATTCAAGCGAATTCCTTCCTCGCTGGAATTTCGTTTCTGCGCTATTCGACGGCGGAATGCTACCCGAGTCAACGCTAGTATGCTAGCACTCCAACGCTAGGCAAACGCTGTCCGAGCCATAACTTAGTAATGGCAGAACTTTTCGCAAGGCAACTTGGCTCATTTTAAAGCTCTTGGAGCGAGCTTCGATATAGCGAATTCTCAGCTTAATCCGACCGACGGTCTGCACGGCACGCTGCGCGACGTTCAAGGTACTCTTGCTGTTTTGACTAAGTCCTTCTTGATCCCTCTCTCTACAAACTCGGACCCGAGGATAGGGGCTGGTCTTGTACCAGGCACCCAGGGACCCTTGGAGGTGACCCCGAGGAGAGGTTTTAAGTTTGATTAAGTCCTAATAGCTTGAGTTTATTAGGCCCTTACACCAACAGAAACTGCACCTTCTTCAGGGCGAAGTCGCTCTTCGACAGCTTCACGTAGAACTTATTCTTCCGCAGGATCTCGAAGACTTTCCGCAGATGCTCCACGTGCTTCTTCATGTTCTAGGAATAGATCAGTATGTCGTCCAGGTACACTACAGCGCACTCGTCCAGCATGGGCTGTAGGATGTGGTTCATCTCTGATTGGAACGTCGCCGGTGCATTGCAGAATCCGAACAGCATCCCAGCATCACTAAGTATCCGAACGGCATCACCACTGCTTGTCCCCCACAGTTGCCAGCACCCTGTTTTTCACAAGGGCAACCTGCCGCAATGAAGTCACCCAAAACGGATCTGGCAGCCCTGCACGCCCAAGGAGAGTGCGAGCACCTTCCTGCAGGGTCCGGTTGAACCGCTCAGGTACGCCATTCTGCTGAGGGTTGTAGGGCACTGTGAGCTGATGCTGGATCCCCTTCCGCTTCAGCTCCCCATTGAAATAAGCACCAATGAATTCGCCACCGTTGTCAGTGCGGATCACCTTCACCTTGTGTCCGCTCTCCCTCTATGCTCTTGGAATCCACTCCTTGAGAACAGCCGCTGCCACCTCCTTCTTAGTCTTCAGAGGGTACACCCACACCGCACGCGTGTGGTCATCCACGATGGTCTAGAAGAAGCGGCTGCCCGAGAGAGAAGGGGCCCTCGTGGGGCCCACCACGTCCATGTGCACAAGCGCAAGTGGTGCCTTGACTGGTCCTGTGCTACTACTAAAAGGGAACTCGGTGAACTTCGTTTTAAGACAAGTTGGGTAGCTCCCAATCTCCTTTACAGCCCCCCTCCTCCCCCTTCTTCTTGGTTGACACAACCTCTCATGCCACATCTCCCAATCGGCCTCACCACTCCCAGATGAAGTCTTTGCCCATGCAGGTGTCTTATCCACACCCACAAGCACTTGACCATGTGGTTGCTGTGGCTGCTGCATATTCTTAACTGCATCCAGGGCCCCAATATTTGGTGCAGTCTCCTCTCTTCCCGTAGTTGTTTTAGCCGTTGCTGCTGCCACTGCCGTTGCTGGAGGTTTCTTGTTCCAAGGGATGATGGGCAGCTGCCCTTCTCCTCCAAATTCCACAGCAGCAACTTCCCGAGCTTCGCACGGCAGCACATTGCCCATTGGCTCCTATAACCTTGGTATTCCCAACACCAATCAGAGGGAGCAAAGCACCTGAAGCGATAGCCACAAACTTGATCTTCCCAGGGGGCTTTACCTCATCAAGCAAATCTGCCCGTGGGGTCATGTGACTTGTGCAACCTGAATCTATCACCCAGTGAGTGAAGGGTGCATCACTGCCTTCCCAACCGAGGCCACATCACCCTCACTCCCTTTCACATCTTCAACCATGAGGAACATCATAAGAGATGCACCATCACCCTCACTCCCTTTCTCCCTTTCATGCTTTATCTTGTGCACCTTCACCTTGTGCACCTGAACCTTGTACAACGCCACCTTGCACACGTTCACCACTTGGCGGCTTCATGCCTGGAGGCGCCCATCCTTCAGGCCGGCTGAAACACTAGAATCATGGGTGTCCAGCCTTCTTGCAGTACCAGCAAACTCCTTCCATTCGGGTGTTCTCCCTGCCACCAGAGCTCCCATGCCCCTCATTGTAGTCATCTTGGCCTCTTCCTCTGCCAAAGCCTCTCCCACGGCCTCGGCCTCTCCCACCCCCTCTTCCTCTGCTGCCTCCTGCAGCTCCATACCCCTCAACAGTCTTGTTGGCAGCACTACCTCCCGTATGGGGCTTGTGGAAAACCTTCTGCAGAATCTGCTGCCGTACCCATTCAGGTGTCCACTGGTCCTGCTGAGCGTTGAGGGTAGGGATGAGGTTGTCCCACAAGTTGTCGAGCATCGAGATGATCTCGGTGCATTGTTTCATCTGCGACACCTTGCTGCCAGCCGCTGCTATCCTTGCATAGGTATCCTTGATCCTGTCCAAGACAGGCTTCACATCATCTCCCGGTCGCATGGAGAGGGCAGCCAACTCCTTCTCCAACACAATCACCATGGGCATCATATTGGGCTGAATGATGTCGCGTAGTAGCTTCCACGCCTTTGGCCCGGAGTCATCGAGCTCCACCAAGTTCTTGATATGCTGGAACATGTCGTTGTTGACCGATTGAAGGATCAGGTCATACATCACCACGCTCTTCTCAATCCACCGATCGCGCGCATCTCCTTCCTAGTAGCTTGTAGCGCTAGAAGGCATTCCTGATCCGCCCGCTCCATTCTTCATAATTGGAGCCATCCAATGCCTCAATCTTGGATGGTGGCGGCTCACTCCTCTTCTCAGCTGCATCTCCACGCCCTTGACTCATCTCGTCTTCACCCAATCTCAGATTTCAGCTCCCCCCTTTGTTGTCCACACTCAAGATCGCCAATATTTTCGCAAGTGTTGGCGCCAGCAAAATTTGGCAGAGTTTCCTCTTAGCAGAAGTCTCATCCAACATGCAGAAGTCCACTTTGGCACACCCACAGGCCATGGTGGGTCTAGAAGGGCCTTCACACATCTGTAGACTCTCCGGAATGTCCTTAATCAGCTCTGGTACCATTTTTTAGAGACTACGGACGGAGCCTATAAAGATTAGGGGGTGAAATAACTCAAAATCGTTGGACTAAAATTCTGGACAGAACTGTCGACTTCATAAGAAACGCCATAAACAAAAATCGCACAGTTCAATGTTCACTAATTTCATATATGTTGTAGCTGTAGACCGTGGCTGCAAATTCCAATTTGAATCGCACAAAATGATGAAGTATTTCTCGAGTTATGAATTCCGGTGCACTAGGGGGTATGCCTAAACTGAACTCAATCACAATTGTTCAACCAAGAACCAAGGGAATTAGAGTAGTAAGAAACCAGATAGGAGGGGATGAGGAGGATGAGAGAGAAGTTTCCTAGGAGTCCCAACCAAGAAAACCCCATATGCTCGCAAGATTCCCCCCCTACAGGAACCCAACCTTCACCCTTATCTTGTTCCCAACCTCTCAAATCCACCTCACCCAACTTGGCCACGCTTGCCAACCTGGTTAGGCTTCTCCCAATCACTTGGCAGAAACTACAGTGATGGTGATTTGTTTTCCAACCCCCAATGGTCTGTACCCCTTATGGACCCAACAAATTCCCGCAGTTGCCGCAACAAAAGATAAAAAGCATATGAACTTCAACAGTTCGTAACTTTCTCGTCCGTGCTACGATCGCGACGATTCTTGGTTCGTCGGTAAGCTCTTGAGCAGAGAAGTAATTTCAGATATCTGCTTAAACAAAATAAAATTCATATGCACTCACAAATTCCAAACCACACTGAATACAAATTCTTGCACACGCTCACTCCACGCATGAGACGCACGAACATAAGATGGGTGGCAAACAGACGTGAATGCAAATTATTGCATCGCATAACATATAGCTGTGTGTGGGAATGGTGTGGGGGTATTGAGCTATGTGTGGGGCTGGAGCGGTGGGCTCCGCAGCGCGACCACATTGCTTCTTGAACATTGCGTTCGACGAAAGTCTGTTGACAGAATCAAGGTGGAGGTACGGCCGAACGTGGCGCTGAAGGTGGAGAATTTTGTCGGCTTCGGCAAAGGGCCGAGCACGGGGCTTGGCTAGAAGGGCCTAACGCTGCACCGCATCATCCCCGGATTCATGGCGCAGGTACGCTTAGGTGTCGAGCCGCAGGTAGGTGTTTTTTAAGTCCTACAACAATCGCAGGTACGAGTTGAACCGCAGATAGGTGCCGAAAGAGTGGTACATGTCGAACCACAGGTACTGCTCGATTAGCAGGTAGGTGTTGAACCTGGTGCGCGTTGAACCACATGTGGGTGTCAAATTCATGGATAGGCGACAGTGCAAGTAAGTGGTGAACGCAGATTGCATCGCAGATCCCCTTGAGTATCAAATCTCACCGTACATGCTCTAAAGCCCATTACGATTTCTTTGGTACTTAATGTGCGTTTGAGGTCTCGACCCTAGTTATCACTACCCCCCCTCTCATCCTCCTTTGCCCTTCTAGGTTGACAATTAGCCTCATCCCTGTCCTCTCCCACTTCCCCATCTATCGTGTCTCGGATTTCTCTTTTCTTTTCTTTTCTGAACTTTTTTTTTTCTGCTGCATTGTTCAAATAGCAGGGTGGCAACTGCGGCAGTTTTATCCTTGGACAGTCGTTCCTCGATGAGAACTTCGGACAGAGGGACAGTGGCACAGGCGTTCTCTCCATGGCGAATCGCAGCCCCAACACCAACAGTGAGTGCAGGAACAAGGGTGGATGTGTGTCACAAGGAACAGCACAACTGCAGCCCCTAGCGATTTTTTAAGCACAGCAGCGGCCCCCCTTGCACCATCCTCCCTTGCGTACACCACCCTCCCTTGCATCACACTTTTTTGCATCTCTTGTATCACTCATCTATACTGCCACGTGTTCACCGCCCTCCGTTTTCTGCCCCCCTCCCTCTCCTCTATCACATAGCTCAAATTGCTGCTCTTTCAACTTTTCTCAACCCCCCTTTCCCCATACTCTCACACAGCCAGTTCTTCATCTACTTGATTTTTAAAATGCGTTGCTTCGCTTTCCACTCTCCTTTCTCCCCCTCCTCTGTTCCGCCACACCCCTTCACATTGTCGGTGTATCATCTCCTTCATTGCTACACCCCACTTGCATGGCAATCACTATGTCATTGGGATATTGTTTGCAGCTTGTGGTTTGGCTGTGCATGATTTCCACCACCTCATTCTCCATCCACTTTTTCTCCCCTTTCCCCCCTCGTTCTCTCCTCCCTCCCTCCCTCTCTACCCCCCCAGACTGCCAATTCTTCATCTGCTTCACTGCTTCACCCTGCCTTGATGGCAAGCATGCTGTCTCTGGGATGTTGTTCGCAGCGGGTGGATAGCTGTGCATTATGACTATCGCCTTACGTGTTTTTTCCCCTTTCCTCCCTCCCTCCCCACCCTCTCAAACTGCCAGTTCTTCGTCTGCTTCACTACTACACCCCACCTGGATGGGAAGCACGTTGTCTTTGGAAAGGTGGTTGCATGTGAGTTGAGGGGTGCTGCTGAGTGATGGGGGAAAGTGAGTGAGGGTTGAAGGCAAGTGAGCGGGGCTTATCAGTGAGTGTGGTAGGGGCTGGAGTGGGTGGGTGAGTGAGGATTGTGTTGTTGACAAGCAGTAAGCCAGCGATGATGGCTGCGTCTGGTCAGGTTACTGCGCCCTGTCAGGTAGCTGCCTCAGATCAGGTTGCTGCGTCTTGCTCTTGTCGGTCCCTCGCCCACCCGACAGTCCTGTGGCACCACTGTCTTGGACACCCGTCCCTCCCCCGCCTCCGCAGCATGGCTAGACAGCTTCTTGTCTAGGGTCTTCCACGTGTCTTTCCGTCTCTCCCTCCCTCGCCTGTGCCGTTGTGCACTCCTTGGGTCGGCTGCGCACCACTCCTCACTCCTCCTTCCTTCATCCAGCCATAGCTCCCTTCCAAACCCTCCACTTGGACTTCTTGGGCCCAGCCCCCTGAGCGGGAGCGTTACTTTCTAGAGGTCGTTGATGAGTACTCCAGGTACGCCACGTGTTTCCTATAGCAAAGAAGTCGGAGGTGACTTCTGCGCTGATCCAGTGGCTTCTGGCCACTGAGGCCACTCGTGGTAGTCGTGTCAGTTGTCTCCACTTCGACCGTGGGGGTGAGTGTTGCTTCGACGTGCTTGCCGGATTATGCGGCGAACAAGTCCCGGACGCTTCCAAAGTCCCCACAGCAGAATGGGGTTGCTGAGCGCCACATTGGTTTGGTCATGAACATCGCCCACACCTCCATGATCTATGCTTGTGCGCCCCATTTTCTGTGGCCTTACGTGGTTCGCTATGCCGCCCACCAGCTGAACTTCTAGCCTCGTGTCTCACGACCACGTGATTCACCGACCAGTCTTTGGACCGGGTCTTCTAGTGTTGCATCGGAGTTTTGAGTCTAGGGCTGTTTTGCGCTTGTCCGCGACACCTCTGCGGACAAGCTCTCGGCTCGAGCCATCCCTTGTGTCTTCCTTGGTTTCCCGGTGGACTCCACTGACTACACCTTTTACCACCGACTCCCTTGACGTCCAGTTTGACAAGTCTGTTTCCTACTACACCCGGTACCCCTATCAAGGTTTCCCGGTACCTTCCCCTCCTCTTTTCCTCGCCCCCGCTCCTCCTCCTGCTCCCGCTCCTCTGGTACCCCAGGCCCCCCAAGGTCCTGCCATGTCAGGTGTATCTCACGCTACCCCTCTCCCTTCAGTAGCACTTCAGGTGTCGTCTCCCTCCCCATAGTCCTCCTCACGGTCACCTTAGCAGCCTTCGGCACTAGCGTGACAGGTTACAGTGGACTCACGGGGTGTCGGAGCTGGAGGTGCTAGCACTGGAGATGTTCGTTCTGGGGGTGTCCGTTTTGGGGTTCCTGGACCTAGAGGTGTTGGCATTGGAAGAGTTAGTTTGAGAGGTGCTGGAGATGGAGGTACTGGCACTGGAGGTGCTAGCTCGGAGGGTGCTTTAGCTGGAGGTGCTGGCACAGGAGGTGCTACTTCGGGGGGTGCTAGAGCTGGAGGTGCTGGCACCGGAGGTGCTAGTTTGGGGGGAGCTGAGCGGTAGTTCCTGACCCTTGAGGTCGTGGTTCTGGAGGTGGTAGAGCAGGTGGTGCTGGCATTGGAGGAGCTAGTTCTGAGGCCACTGGAGCTAGAGGCTCTTCGTCAACTTGAGCGTGAGGAGCAGGAGTGGTTGGAGTAGGAGGGGGAAGAGCTGCAGCAGCTTGAACAGCAGGAGCAGCAGGAGCTGCAGCTGCAGCAGCGGCAGCAGCAGCAGCAGCAGCAGCAGCAGCAGCAGCAGCAGCAGCAGCAGCAGCAGCAGCAGCAGCAGCAGCAGCAGCAGCAGCAGCAGCAGCAGCAGCAGCAGCAGCAGCAGCAGCAGTAGCAGCAGCAGCAGCAGCAGCAGCAGCAGCAGCAGCAGCAGCAGCAGCAGCAGCAGCAGCAGCAGCAGCAGCAGCAGCAGCAGCAGCAGCAGCAGCAGCAGCACCAGCAGCAGCAGCAACAGCAGCAGCAGCAACAGCAGCGGCAGCAGCAGCAGCAGCAGCAGCAGCAGCAGCAGCAGCAGCAGCAGCAGCAGCAGCAGCAGCAGCAGCAGCAGCAGCGGCAGCACCAGCAGCAGCAGCAGCAGCAGCGGCAGCGGCAGCGGCAGCAGCAGCGGCAGCAGCAGCAGCAGCAGCAGCAGTGGCAGCGGCAGTACCAGCAGCAGCGGCAGCAGCAGCAGCAGCAGCAGCAGCAGCAGCAGCAGCAGCAGCAGCAGCAGCTGTTCCCACCTGTGAGTGATGTTCTGGCCCTGCGTCTTCCCTCTCCTCCTCTTGCCCGCTCAGGGTCTCCTACCGCGTACGGTCCCACGTTTCCTCCATCAAACTCGGCTCTGGCTGTTTTCTCTCCTACTCTATCACAGTCACCTCCGCCTGTTGTCGCGCATGACTGGCCCACTTGTTGTCCTCCACGTGCTCGTCCCTTGTCTCCTTTCGCAGACCTCTGCACCGTCTTTTTTGTTTCTGTGCCACTCGTCTTGTTGTCACACGTGTTCTCGCCTGTCTATTCACGGACCCTCGTGCCTCTCCGTCGTCTGTCTCGGCACTTACTGCTGTTGTTACTAACTTTGCCGCCACTCGCCACCTTGACTACGCCACCCGCCTGGTGGTTGCTCCGCCTGCCCGTCCTCTATCCGCAGAGGGTGAGTTTGCCCTTGGTTGTGAAGAGGATCGGTAGTTTGAGCTCGATTTCTTCGCAGTCGCTTGACCCCATCTCTGTGCCATGCTGCTAGCCCTTGAGGGAGACCCCGACGCCCTTGACATACCGACTCCTCGCACGTACCGTGAGGCAGTGTCAGGGCAGTGGGCCTCTTAGTGGATTGCGGCCATGGAGACAGAGATGGCGTCTTGGAAATCCACATGCATGTACGTCGACGCAGTTCCCCCGCCTGGGGCGAACGTAGTCGATGATGTGTAGATCTTCAAGGTAAAGAGACCACTAGGATCACTGCCTGACTTGAAGGCATGCTACGTGGCTAGAGGCTTCAGTCAGCGAGAGGGAGTTGACTTCTTTCATACTTTCGCACCGACCCCGAAGATGAGTACTCTTCGGGTGTTACTTCTAGTTGCAGCACAGCGAGACTACAAGCTGCACTCCTCGACTTCTCCACCGCACAACTTTCTTGCAGGGCAGCCTACACGAGGAGATCTGGCTGCGCCGTCCTTCTAGCTTCACTGGCACTTTCCCGTCTGGGACCCAGTGGAGCAAGAGGCGACCAGTCTACGGTCTCTGCCATGCGCCCCGTGAGTGGCACGACACGCTTCGCACCACTCTTGCTGCCCTCGGGATTTGTTCTTTGTCCTTCGGGTAAATCCGTCGGTGTTTGTTCGTTCTGGGCCCACACCTTTCTTCGTCCTCATCTACGCCGACAACTTGGACTTTTCTACAGCAGACAGGGCCGCTCTGGCTGAGGTGAAGTCCGAACTGCAAAAGAGACACACGTGCACTGACCTTGGTGAGCTGCACTGCTACCTTGGCTCGGATATCACCAGGGACAGAGTCGCTCGCACCATTACACTCTCACAGTCGCACATGGTGCAGCAGGTCCTTCAGCGGTTCGCGATGGTTCGGGCTTCAGCACTCCACCATAAGGCCCACTCTTCTTGTCGTTGACCACAGACGCACTAGCCCTTTTCCCGACGAGCCCTTTGAGTCTAGTGGCCCCTACGCAGAGTTTGTGGGCTGCCTCATGTACCTGATGACTTGTACTCGTCCGGACCTCACCATTCCTCTCAGCGTCCTCTCTCGCTTAGATGTGACTGGGAAATACCGCCCTATTCACTGGACAGCTGCTGTGAGGGTGGCGAAGTACCTGGAGACTATATCAGGCATGGGGCTTGTATTTGGAGAGAGATAGCCGATTGTTCTGGCCTGTCATTACGACTCTTCCTACGCCGACGACGTGGAGACATAGAGGTCCACCCAGGGATAATGCTCCAGCTTGGGCGCTGGAGCTGTGTCGTGGAGGTCTACTCGGTCGTCGTCGTCGTCTGTGGCTTCGTCCAGTGCAGAGGCAGAGATCTACGCTGGTAGCATGGCTGTGCATAAACTTCATTGGTTGACCTAATTGCTCGCCACCTTGGTGAGCGGCCTCGCTCTGCACCGACCTTGTTTGTTGACAACAAGGCCATGATCCTACTGTGTCGATAGTCTCGACTGAAGAGCAGAGTGTAGCACATTTACGTGAGGTACTTTCTCCTGCGAGAGTTGCAGCGGCGCGGCCACGCACGCTTGGACTTCGTGGAGTCAGAGGCCAACACTGTAGACATCTTCACGAAGGCCTTAGCACCTAGTGACCACCACAGGCTCTGTCTGTAGTTAGGCATTGTTGATACTGGTGCTAGGCTGCTATAGCATTCTTTCTTGTTGCTTGCTCTGCTTGTCCTTGCATCTATATATATTTGTGTCTTGTAACCCTTTGCTTTCTTTGCTTGTTTTGATGCCTCTCACTTTGCCTTTGGGGGTGTGCTAAATGTTATACATGGTGTTGATAGGCTATAGTGAGCAGGGCTATAAGGAGTACAACACTTTCTAGGTTTAGCATTTGTATCTCCCGTCTTGCTAGTCATGACCATTCCGCTATGCTCAACTCTTGAGAACTCAGCCCAACGAAAATACTTTGAAACAAAAATATAAGAATATAGATACATTCACACAACTCAACGACATCCAGAGTAATACCACAATGATATATGCTTCATGGACAATGTATCAGATCCGGTAGTTCATTTTCCGCTGCTTGAAAAGCCTCTAGGTGCACCTGCATGATAATTTCAACCATTATACAGTGCTATATTTGATAATTTCTATATTAATTTCGTTGCACCAAGTTTCGGAAGTATAGAAAGGGGAATTCGAGGTATGGTGTTATGAATGAACTTGCAGAGTGCGCAGATTAATGAATAACGAGAATACTGGACTACAAAATCACGATACAAGGAAAATAGCGAGACATAAAGAGGAGGAAACCTAGCTAGGCGGAGAGGTCGGGAAAAGTTGGCTCGCGAAGGGTCGCGATTGGTGCGGAGGCGACTCGGTGAGGTTTGGGTGCAAAAATGTAGGCCGAACCAGTTGGTCGCGTGGCCCTCGGGATGGCCTCGCTAACGAGTGCCTCAGTAAGGATTTGTAAATCCTTACACTCTCCCACCTCCTAAGCTAGACAGCCCGTATTGAAACATGCCCTAGACTAGCGAGGATGTCGTCGATCTAATTTTTTGCTGAATCCGACGGCTGAAGTTGTCTTCAACAATTTCGAAGGAAAGGTTGGAATGTTGACCGTATATGTAGTCTGGTGTCAATCTGACGGGCGCCGATGAATTGGCCCAATTTGAAAAAGAAGTTGGAATGAGGGACGTTGATCGACAGATGTAGACGCGACAGTCGAAAGCTGCTGCGAAAATAAGAGGGAACCTGCTGACGCGAAATTTTATCGCGATGCAGCAGATACCGTTGATCTTGTCAGTGGGATTGTGATTGTCCGTCGTGCTGCTGCATCCTGACTAAAGTCAAGACGAAACCCGAGAAAACGCCCAACGAAAGGAAACAGTACAACGCACTTTCTCTCCCCCTTGAAGAAATGAACCATAGAAAAAGTTTTGCAGCCGCGCCGAGATGAAAACAACAAAAACCAGGTGTTAAGTCGCACTTAGCCAGCGTTGAGCGTAGATTCGAGTCGAAAATGTGTTGGTGCTGGAAATCGATGACAAAACCAGGTATTACATGCCCAAAAATCTTCAAGGGCGAACCCGCAGAGGTAGACCAAAAACCGTGACGGAAAATCGTCGTTACTCGAACTTTGTCAAATGTTGTCGTCACACCACCAAAACTTTCTATGGTAGTTTCCGCAACTGTAGCTGGCAGCACTTGACGTGGTCGAAAGAAATGTTGCTGTCGTGGACGGGTCGAGTGGGGCGGGTTGTCGTTAGTAGAGTTAGAGCGGACTCGTCTTGAAATCATTTGGCCGTGATTTCATGAGTGGTACAAAAATGTCGGTGATGAATACAATTGGTGGCGAAGTCGAATACGAGAGTCGGCGATTGCCGTTGCAGAAGTAACATGGCCAAAAATCGCTTCACTCGAAAATGTTGAATTCGTTCTCAGTGTCGGATGACGTGAGCTCCTCCGATAAGTTTGTCCAGAATCGCCGAGCTTTTTATCGTAAGGCACCGAGGGCTCCTGGGCAGAGATGAAAAATTGCAGCCGCCTCTCCCCCCCCCCACCCCCCCCCCCTCCACTGTTGCTGCTGCTTCTTCCAGTTCGTCGTAAGTCGTTCGTACCCCTGAAAAGTCCGTGTAAATCTCGCAATGTTGCCTCACGTCCTTGTCGCGCACGTTTAACCAAACGCCGAATACTCCTCCGAAATTGTCGGCGCTTCTCGCCGTAAAAACCGGTAAGTCCCCACGTGAAACTCCAAAATTGTCGTTCGAAAATAGCCATGTAAATCCGCAGTTGCAGGTGCAGTTCGCCTCCGAAAATCTCGGATGTACTATAGCCGCCCATTCGGTCACCAGTAGTTTCCGTCGGTTTACCCGACCCCAGCATCTGGGTTCAATCGAGAACCGGGGGCCCCGGGTTATTCCGAGACTGACTTTCACGGATCATAGTAGCATCAACGCCATTGTCCTTGTCGTCAAAACTGCTCCCGCCTATGATTTTTAACAAAATACCATGCAACTCCCACCAGCGCTTTGCAGATGTTTCACCCATCGCTTGTCGCCGGCAGGTAAGTCCCGAAGCTTCAACTGCTCCCATTTTTTTGTATTTTCCATTCCCCGACAATATCGCGCACCACCGTTCACCCAGCGTCCGCGTCTTTCGGATGAAATATAAGGTTGAAATTGTCAACGGGAGTTGTATGTTGGCCCCGTCCTCGCTTGGGCGGAGCCGACTTCGTTGTCGGGTGTGCGGGGAGCGCAGCCCGCCTGCTGTAGTGGGGGACGCCGTCCTAGGCGCCTGGACGGCGTCCTGGGCGTCTGGACGCCGACCCGGGCATCTGGACGGCGTCCTGGAGGCCTTGACGCCGACCTGGGCGTCTGGACGGCAACCTGGGCGCCTGGACGGCGTCTTGGACGACTGGATGCCAACTTGGGCGTCTAGAAGGCGTCCTGGGCGCCTGGACGCCGACCTGGGCGTCTGGATGCCGACCTCGGCGTCCTGGAAGCCGGCCTGGGCGCTTGGACGCCGACCTGGGAGGACGCCGACCTTGTGGCGTGAACCTGGTTGCCCGATCGACTCAGTTACCC